AAAGGAATTCAAGTAAATAAGTAAGTAAGGAGAAAAAAACATGGCCTCTTTACTGGATCGAGTCGTGTATCATTTTTAGTTTCTAGAGTTCTAAGAGGCAAGCAACGTTTTTGGTTTTAATTCTTATTTTACTGTTATATGAAGGAAACCCTAAAAATATTTATTTTGTTGTATCCTTCATATTTTTCAATATTTAAATAGAGTATTTTTTGATTTGATTCCTAGAATTATACATGTTGGTGTTTGTTTTCTTGTAATTAATGATCTGCATGAGTTTTGGTTTGTTTGATTGAAAAAAAAGGACATTTATGTGTTAAATGTGGGTTTTGGTTTTTTTTAAGGACATTATGCCTAGCGAGCGAAAGTTAAGTTGAAAGTTAAGGAATGTGTTAGTGAGAAGTTATTAAGGGAGAAGTTTATAAGGAGAAGTTGTTAGTTTTGGGAAAGAGTTAAAGAAGCAAACATCGCCCCCAATGCGTATCTTGTTCGCACCGCGGGAGGGCTTGGGTTAAGTGTGTGTTTTGTTTTGCTTGTGTATGTGTGGAATACAAAATCAAGGGGAAAGGAAGGAGGAAATATTTGATCCAAGAAAAAAAAAAAAAGAAAAAAAAAGAGGGAATACGAATATAAAATAAAGGTGCACCACTAAAAAAGGAAGTTGAAGAGTCTCCAATACAATAATTTGCCTACAATATCTTATGATTAATTTATTTTTGTTGATTTTGCATTCAGTTATTTATCATCAAATTTCTCCGTTGTCAAAATAATTCCTTTTGGTGTCTTATTTATTTCAAGCTTTATTTGATTTATTTTTGTTTTCTTTTTTAAATTCTTGAAGGTTTTGTGTAAGGCCAAAAAATATAGAGTTAAAAATAAGACTTACGTATTTAAAGTTAAGTTATATTTTATTAAGAGTCTTATAATTTGGGTTGTTGTGTGTAGCAATTACTGAGAGCTCTTTGATAAGCTAAGTGGTCATGTGTTCAAGCCTAGATTAGAACGTAAAGTTTTATGTTATTTATTTATTTTTGATGATATAAGTGCAACACATGTTATTGTATGATTGTTAAATTTGTGAGGTTATAATAGTCTCCATACCATGGAAATTATAGTTTTCTTTTAATTATAATTAAGAATTTATGAAGGGTTAAGGTTTCCTTTTAATTATGGTTAATATTTCTTTTAATCACTTTTAATTAGCACTTTCTAATTATTTTTAAATCCTAATTTTATTATTAATTTCTAAATCCTAATTGGATATATTAGGATTGAACCCTAAATTAATTTTCCCGAATGGATGTTTCACACTTAAAAGAAACCTAATTAGGAGCTTTCTTTCCAATCTTGGAGTTTTATTCTCTTCGCGGAACAACAACACAACCTTTGGGTGTCATTTTTTAGCTTCGTGCAAGCCAAGATCTTTGGGGTTGGTAAGAAGCTCCAATCGAAACTCTGCTCGTTTAATGGAATAAGGGGAAATCTTGCCATTTTGAGAGTCAAGCCCATTGTGAAGGTTTCTCTCACTTCCATGGGCCCAAACCATGGGCAACATGGCATCAATGTCGTATGTTCAGGTTGAACAGGGGTTCCCTAGTAGTGTTGTCGATTTATGACTCCGATTATATGGCCCCACCAGTACCTTAGAGAGTTGTCCACCCCAAAAAACTCCTTTAGCTTTCTTCTAGTCGTTTCTCTTGAGCTCGACGATTAATGCGTTTCGATGACGACCCCTTATCTGACCATACGTCTACAGGTGTTATAGTGAGCTTGTTGTGTGTGACGTGCTTGAGGCTTACGGTTATGACTGTTCAGGGTTTAACCCGAAGTGGCATTATTTGAGCATTGAGTTTCCACATGAGTTTTTGCACCTGTTGGGCATTGATGATGGTCAATGCCTCTACTTCGACCCATTTCGTGAAATAATCGATGACCATCAAGAGAAACTTCTTTTAAGCCTTGTCGATCAGGAAGGGGCCTACTAAATCCATTCCCCATTTGGCGAACGACTAGAAAGTCACAATACTGTAAAGTTGAGTCAGGGAAGCGTTTAAGTTGTTTGTGTGTGCTTTGCAAGCTTTGCACTTCTGAACAAAGTTCTTGATATCCTCCTCCATAGTAGGCCATTAATAACTTGCTCGGACCGCCCTGACTATAAGTGTGTGGTGGCCGGTGTGAAATCCATATACTTCATTGTGGAGCTCATCTAGCACGTATTGGGCCTCTGACTTCGATAGGCATTTAAGCAGTTTTCTGTACAATTCCTCACCCTTTAGGACAAAATGGGTGACCTTCTTAGCTTCAGTTGGCCAAACAACCTCTCCTTCTATATTATCTTCTCATTAGCTCTTTAATTTCACTCCTCCAATCTTCTTTGCAGGGGACAATTGTTGTCATGCATTCCACAGATGGCTTCAAAAGGACTTCTTTGATCATCGTGGACAATTGCCCTCTCTCTTTACTACTCTCTAACTTGAAAAACATATCTACCATTGCATTCTCCTCATGGTGAACATGTTTGATCTCCACGGAATCGAAGGCTTTAATCAATCCCGTGGCTTTTTGAAAGTATTTGAGGAGGTGGCCATCCTTGACCTGGAAATCCTTGTTCATCTGTTCGACCACTAGTTAAGAATTCATTCAGAACTCTACGTGTCTTGCCTCAATTGTCTTTGTCGAGCTTTAGTCTAGCTACCAAGGCTTCATACTCAGCCTGATTGTTTGAGACTTTGAACTTGAAGATTAGGGAGGGCTCAACAACCAAATCGTTTGATCCCTCCAAGACCACGCCAACTCCTCCTTCTTTCTTGACCGACGAGCTGTCGACATATAACTTCCAGACAAAGCTTGGAAGATCACATGTTTGAAGAAGTTTGGCCGCAAACTCGGCCAGGTGCTACCCTTTGAAAGAGACATGTGACTCAAAGCACAAGTTGAACTCTGAGAGCTCCACCACCCATCCAACCATTCGGTCGGGGTCAAACTTTCTTAAGATTTTAGCTATTTGGTGATCCATGCAAACGACCATCTAGTGGATTTGGAAATACGACCTAAGTTGTTTGGCGACACTGAGTAAGGCTAAGACCACCTTCTCCACCTGTTGATATCTGGTTTTCAAGCCTCTACAGCATCCTACTAACAAAGTAGATGAATTTGCGGTCTAGGTTTTCTTGCATTAATGCAGTGTTGAGGGCTCCTTCTAACACTACAAAGTACAACTGTAGCTCTTTATCTTTGGCTGGTTGGGTCATCACTGATCGACTTGCCAACATGGTCTTAACTTCAGCAAAAGCGACTTCACACTAGTCGTCCCTCTTTTGGAGGAGTTTTTCTTCATTCTTCTAAATACCAAGCGGATGTGCTCGACCATTTTTGGAATAAAGTGTAAGAGGAAAGTCATCTTGCCGACCAACCGTTGCAACTCCTTTAGGTTCTAGGGTCTTCTTATTTCTAAGATTGACATGCACTTGTAGGAATTGACCTCGATCCCATGGGTGGTCAATATGAAACCCATGAACTTTCCTAGTCCTACGCCAAAGGTGCATTTGGCTGGGTTGAGTTTCATGTTATACCTCCTAACTTGGCCGAACACCTCCACCAGGTTCTTCATGTGGTCTTCAAATGAGTGGAAGCACACCATCATATCATCCACATATACCTCCACGCAATGTCCGATATGCTTACATAAAATTTTATCCATAAGCCTTTGGTAGATGGCTCCTGCATTCTTTAACCTGAATGACATAACCTCATAACATAAGTTAGCTTGCTCGGTGATGAAGGTCACCTTGTCTTGCTCGGGAAGGTACATCGAGATTTGGTTGTACCACAAGTAGGTGTCATAGAAGTTTAAAATTTAATACCTTGATGCTCCATCCACCATGTCGTCTATATTAGTGAATGAATGTGTCCTTCGGACATACCTTGTTGAGGTTTGTGTAGTCTATGCACATTCACCATTATTCGCTCGTCTTTTTAACCATCACCACATTGGGCAACCAGGTGATGTATGTGACACATTAACTCTGTCTCCTTCAGCTTGCTCTCCTCTACCTCCACAACCTTTCTCTTTTCTTTCCCCAACCTCCTTTTCTTCTAGGCTACCGGGTACGCCTCCCTAAAAAGGGCCAACTTAGAACATGACAAAGGGTCATCCCTAGCATGTTTGTCGTAGTCCAGACGAAGAAGTCGTTGTTTCTCCTCAACACCTTGATCAAGGACCGTTCGCCTTCACTGGTGAGTCCCTTAGCCAACGTAGTCGTTTGGTTATCATCACTCCCCAAGACATGGGGTTTGACCTTCCTTTGAGACTCCAACATGTCCTTCTTGTTAGTGTGTGGTCCAAGTTTGTCAGGCCGAGGGTCTGACACTCCTAAGCGAGACGTGCAGATCCACCTTCAAACCTATTGAGTCAAAATTTAAAAATGTGATTCCTCAGGGACTAAAAGTGGAATCAAGTGCAAAATTCTATTTAAAATACACCTAAAACATCCATAAAAATTGACATATATTGGAGGTAATTTTGTGTTGAAAATGACTTGGATGAAGAAATATTATTGTGTTTGAAGTGGACAACAATTTCATATATCTGAATATTAAAAGTGTTTATTATTGAATGTTTCTTTTATTAACTTTAGGTATATTTTGTAATCTTATTATTGTATTTTCTATTGAACTTCTTTATTCGAACAAATTATGATATCTTCTAAATAGTTCTATTTCTCTATTCAATATAACAGCATATAATAACTTTATTCTCTATTGTGATTATGGTAACTTTTCTTTTATGATTATTACTCTTATATTATGGTAACTTCTCTCTATTACACATTAATGCAATCAAATAAAATACCCGTGCATTGCAAGGTAAAAACACTCGTATACAAGATTTACATACAGTCTAAATCCTGTGCGTAAAATTTTGTATGTAAATTCACAGTTTTTCATAAATCCTAAACTATGAAGATATTTTCGGAACTATAAATCTGAAGATAATTTATAACTTTATTATCCATTCCCGTGTTGTTCTCCAAAACGGAAAATGACCCTCCGTCTAGTGTCAGCACCGCCATCATTCTCTCTCTTCACCTGCCGCTCCACCGCGTCCACCGCGTCCACCGCCCTCCCTCCGCCTACGCCGACACCAACGCCAGTGCCAGCTTCTTCTATTCCACCGTCTCCGCCGTTGACGTGCGCACTTCATTGCCCGCACTTCCAATCGTACGCTCCTCTGTTACTCAATCTCATTTCATAATTTCCATTTTAAAATGGCAAATTATTTGTTCATATTGTTGTTTTTCTCAGGTGTTCGGGGTGCACGCACGAGTTCAACCTCCACCGTCCGGTCATATTGGACGATGCCAACGATTTCTTTCGGAAACACGGTGTCTCCGACTTCACATTTGACACGTGTAAACTGGTTGGTTTTCTTCGCAATTCGTAAAGTCTTTTGGGTTTATCTCTCTCTTTAAAATAACCTTTTTAATTTAGTTTTGCTTTTGTTGTAGTGGGGTTGGAGGTGCCGTGCGAAATTGGCCGTGCGTGGCTCTTCAACGGAGCCTCTGATCGGGCTCTATGAGGAGGGTACTCATAACATAGTTGACATTCCACAATGCAAAGGTCCATAGTTCGTATATCTATACAGTTATTCCATAGTGCAAAAAAACATAGTTCATATGGCGTCCGGCCTCATAAGTAAGGAACCAGAGAAACTACTTTACTCTAGTTAAAATGTTAGTTAATTTCATTTAATTTTCTCAATGACATTGAAAAAAAGAACTTTCATTTTCTAAATTATCTTTCTCTATGCTATTCCATAACAGAAAAGTACATAGTTTATACTCAATTTACACTCAAATATAGGTTAAAAAAAGCAAACAAACTAATTTACAGTAGTTAAAGTTGTAATTAGCTTCTCTTAATTTTCTCAGTCTGATTTAAAAATTGAACTCTCAATTTCTAAATCATCTTTCATGCTAATTGATGGAAGCTTCAATTTAATGGAAAATATTTTCAAATGGGAATACTCTTCCTTTATTTTGAAAACCATGTTATTGATATTATGTGAGTTAAAAAGGGTTATTTGAAGTTAGTGAATTAGATAACGATTATTTGGGAGAATGATTTCATTTAAAACGGTGGAATCAATTTAGATTTACTTATATTTTGGAGCACCTAACTTAGAGACTATATATATATTGTTATTCTTTGAGTGCCATCACAAAATTCTATTCCATTTTTATCCACCTTTCAAAATGGAATAAAATGTAAAACGAGTTTAATACAAAATTGGTACCTTTTATAATTCTCATTGTTTGGTGTACGGACAAGATGTGATCTTCTTATCCTATTGTCTTTTCTATCATGTTGGTTCAACAAATTTTTTCTCCTTAGGCTGAGTTTAGTTAGTAGACAGCATGATGGTATAGTTGATTTCCCTCTCGCCGCTCACTACCCGTGGTACTTCTATTGCAACTACTATAATTGTCATCGTTATTCAGTTGTTGCAACTACCATCAAAACCTTTGTTGCTGTGGCACCACTGTCACCTGCACCATTATTGTTGTTTCCGCCACCTTCATATACATTGCTTTTACCATCATAGTTATCATCATCTTTGTCAAATCAACCATCGCTATTACTACTATCTGCGTCACTGTGGTTACTTTAGCAATTATCACTACTCTATTAGCTTCACTACCATGTCATCCTGATAGGAACTTGATATTGTGGAGTGCCCAAATCCCACAGTAGTATGGGATGCTCGGTGGAGTATTTAGTGTTTTAGTTCTTCCCCTTTAATAGCTAGCTTTTGAGGGTGGGTTCTCCAAATACTTGGGTACTTATTAATTGGTATTAGAATTGGTGGTTGATGTCTTGAAAAGGCTACCTAAGAAGACATGTGAAGGGTTTTGAGCTACGAGAGAGTTGAGTGAAGTGTCATCAAGTAAAGTCTTGTAGAGTGGAAGTTGTTGAGGGACAGTGCTATGATAGGAACTTGGGTATTATGGGTCCAAATCCGACATCAGTGATATTTTATGTTTCCCAAGTGATTGTGTACTTATCACATTTTTATTGCAGCAACTATCTATTGTGTACTTATCACCACCTCTACCACCACCTCTATTGCTGAGACTGCAACTACTTCTACCATTGTTATCACTATTAGCACTATGGCCATTATAGTTATTACTCTCACAACTAATTATTACCATTGTCATTACCTCCACTCTCATTGAAGTCACCATTAATATTGCTATCTTTTAATGTTATTGTTGTAATTGTCACCATTGTCGCCACCATGATCACCTCTACCACTACCATCATCACCATCAACACTGTTATTGTCTCCACCATCCCCACCAACACCAATATGTAAGATTACTGTTTTTCTTGCACTTATACAATCAGGTTCTTGTCTTACTCTTCAATTCTATTTTATCCTATAATTTTCCCCACCAAACGAGGCCTAAAATTGTTGGAACTAATGTTGATAGATAATTATTTGAGTTCCAATTTGGTCACTTTCTGCATTTTGTTTTCTTTGGCTGTGTTTGTGAGTGCAAAAGTAGTTTGTTTCCCTTTTTATTTTTTATTGTCTCAGTTGTTGTTGTGAAATTATGTCAATTAAGCTAGTGTATGTCTTATGCGTGCAGCTCATCATCCTAATATTAATGCTGCTGTGGAGCTGCTTCGACGGGGTATTTCACTGTATTGTTATTATCACTATATTTGTTTATTTTATTCTTCAATTTATTCATTTAATTATGTTTTATGTGCTTTACCTCAATATCATCTAGGTATTACTGAATTAGGCATTGGACCATACATTGAAGATGAAGTTACCGGTGATTTGCGATATGTCCAGGTGCCCTATTCATAACAATAGGGTAGTTGAAGAGTTCAGTCAATGGTTGTAATTTTCTGCATTCGTAAAGTTAACCACTAATGAATGGGTGTTTGCAGATGGCGGTGACGACTTATAATACATCTCTTCCTGCGGCTGAAAGATATATGAACGGTTACTTCTTAGTTTCTATAACTCATTAATTATGCCAGAAAAACGAATAGATATTTTCTTACTGTTAATGGCATTGAATAACAATGGCTTCATTTATTTTATATGATTTCAGGAAAGGTTCAGATTACATTGGTTTGGAATTCTAGAAATGAAAATTCACCTGGTGCTGACAAACTGAATGCATTGGCAAATGTGAGCTTGTTGGTTCCTTTCTTTTTGCTTTTATAAGTTCTCCTGCCTCTTCCCTTTTAATAATAGAAAGTGATGGTCGATATGATTGATACAGTTTCTATGGAAAAATGGTGGGCCACGGAGCAGGGTTCATTTAATTCACTCTGTGTGGGCGAACTTTCAGACTTCTACTAACAATGTGAGTTTAAATTATTCTTATAAACCAAATAAATGGTTTATATGTTATTAAAGTGGAATCTGGTATGCTGTTTGTGGTACTGGGAAGGTAGATGGTGTAGTTGCAGTAGGGAAGAAAGGAGGGTCTATATATGGTTCATGAACTGCTTTATTACACTAATCATTTGATGCTGAAAATTTAAATAACAATATTGTTGATTCTTAATGGTTATATATTTGAATTTTAGGGAACAAAGTGCTGGTTTACAAATTTTCCCTTAACATTTCATGGTGGCCAAAAATATCACATGTGGAGAAATTGTAGAGAGAGTGAGGGTAGGGCACGGGACTTTACAACATGCAAGCAGAGTCTTAAATATTACTTCAGTGGTTGTATATGTTGACTTTGAAATTTAGGTTGCCTTAGCAAAATGATATCATATGAACAGGCAATCTGTGGAATAATTTTTAATTTGCTTACTTTGGATGATGAAATTTTGAAAGTTTGTGTTTGCCAAAACATTTCATCTGTATTATAGATGAAATTTTGATAAAATTATTTCATCTGTGTACAAGACAGTATTTTTGATAGCTTTTATCTTATGTCAATAAGCTACTCATGTTACTGTTTTAAAATAGTCTACCCAGATGAAACTTATATTTTACGGTCTTGCCCCTTCAAATAGAAATAGAAAACCTCAATGTCCAAACTTTGTTGATTACGATAATTTTTGGATTTAATGTTATTGTTTGTTATTGTTTTAATTATTCATTATTAATAAAATATTTATTTATTTAAAGGTAAATGATAACTATTTTAATTTACAATGAAGAATATTTTTTACACATATTCCTTGAAATGTATTAATATAAAAAAATTTAGATTATAAAAAAATTAAAAAAAATTAAAAAATAGAAATTTATTTTATTCAAATATGTAATTACCTAATATTAAGATTTGATATAATAACCAATCATGTTCTTATTTGTCATTTTACAACTTTCAAGCAATTCGTCCACTAGTTTCATCAAATACTTTTTTTTTTTATAAATTCGGGCTTGGCATGACGCCTTCGAATGGATAAATTTATTAAAAGAAAACAAAAACAAAAAATATATGGGCAACCAAACCAAACCCATCTAACAAATTACTTAGAGAATGTTAGGTTTCTTCCAAGAACTGGATTTTCAGATTCAGTAAAGAAATAAGCACTCAAATCTTACTACACAACGTAAGACTTTAATCAAGGAAAACATAATACAGCAAACATCCAACAGCTTCCAAGAGAAGAAATTCCCTTCAACCCTGATTCTGAATAAACTACTCAACACCCTTTTGCAGATAAGTCTCCCCTCTTAAAAGATAACCCACCTTAGGCATCATAATCGTCTCCTAACTACTACAATTAATCCCTCTTAACTTCCTAACCTCCTCTCTTCTTACTTCTAATTTCTGTGTTATTTTTGCCAAAATATATTTCTGCCAAAATATATTTCTGCCAAACTGTCTAAAAGTTGTCTAATACATTATATATCCTATCATTACTTGATGCGGCAAAACAACCTTGTCCTCAAGTTTATAGTCTAGAAACTGGTCCTTAATCATTGTGACTGCCTCAAGGCTTCTTTTCGGCCATTGGATTAATCCTTTCCCATTACGTCTACCAAACAGCTTGGTTGAAAAAAAAAACACTTTACTTTGACCCGAAGTTCAATAAGAATCCCTTGATTTGAGTAGCTTTTGTCCCTTTGATCAACATCCTGCACCCCTCCTATGGTCAGACAACCTACTTGAGCACCATCTATGTATGTTGTGCATGTCACCTGAGTATCATGAGTTTGATTGAAGAATTGTCCAGCCACGTAATCCTCCCAACTCTTTGAAGGTCTTCTCATGATATACCTCATTATCCTCAATGATAGGATGCATGTGTTCTCATTGTAATGTAATGACTTCGGAGGATCTGTTTCAAGAGAGACTGGATGATCGAGACCTTCACGTAGCCCAATTTCAACCATCTTCAGGGCTGATTGATGAACTTGTTTATTGAAATCCAAACATCTGCCCACAATATTATCGCAATATAATTGAACTATATCCCCATATCTGTTTGTATCCCTAGCACTAGTAGCAACAGGGACACTCTGCCCAGCTCGTACTGTGTAGCCACCAACATTACCATCAATTTTTTTTTTTTCGTTCCCCTTTGGCTTTCATCATCCAGAAAATACTCGTACATGTTTTTTAATCCTTGAATCTATAAAGGGTCTAACTTTGACAACATAATCTTTCACAAACAGATGCTTAATAAACAGTCTAACTCGGCTTCCAAAATCAACAAATTTTTTATTGGACTTTGCTAGCAATCAATTTCCATAACAGATAATTAACCCAAGACAAACGGGAGATCGTCCAACTTTCTTGTCCTTCATGCATAGGGCCTGCCACTTTGTCAAGAAATACTCCCCCAATTGGTTTTCTAATGTTGGGTTTACTAGAGACACCAATATCTTGAATTCTTGGATGACTTTTTTCCCTCTCCCCGTCCTTGTTACTACTGCCATCCCTACTGCCATCCTCTCACGTAAAATTTCCACACTCACAATCTGTGTTATTGCTGCTAAACTCTCAAATAACATGTTTCCCATGTTCCCTTCAACTATCCTTAGTTGAGGTGTTGCAAGATGATATGGTCTGGAAGGTGTATGAAAGGAGGAGGAAGAATAGAGAAAGTTAGGAAGAGTGGGTAGGAGCCTAACTGTTTTACCAGTTAGGAAGGGGCAGGGGTACGGGAATGAGATATTATAAATAGTTTTCCTATAACTCTGTTTAGGCAGTTTTGTATTCTTTGTGTAAAGACAGGACATTGGCCTGTGGAGGGGGATTAGGCTCCCGATTAGCTTACCATACGTGTACATTTGTTCATTTGTTAATACAGAAGTTCTATTCTTTCCTTTGGTGTCTTACTGTTGAGTGTTTGAGAGGGAGCTAGATAGGTTTCATTTACCAGGAACCTATCACAAAATCTTCCCAAGAAAGGTTCTTGGATTTCGGTTGCCAGGTCTTGAACCCCTTAACTGCATCTTCTCCCATGTTATTGAAGGTTAGGTGTACTTTTGTGGTTCCTGTGATGTTCTAGACTTCAAAAACATTTATTGTCCCCAACACCATCTACCTTTGAGCCATCCACACTCAAAACAACGTCATCTTTTACTTAGTTACAATGGTCCCACCACAGTCAGCCTTCTTTCCTCTATCTTCACCCTCCTTCACTGGTTTGACATATTCACCAAGACCTACCACACTATCCCCACTAAAAACAATAGCTTTTGAAACTTCATTCTGAAAAGCAAGAATCACAACATTCCCATCACAGTCTTGGTCTCCACCTTCCTCTTCACTGATATCCTTTACTCTTTTCTTCTCTTGATTGATGGACTTGTCTCCTACATATGAGGGTTTCTTGGCTTTCTTGATGTCTTGTGAACTATCTTTCCCAACAACCATACCCTTCTTTACCTCTTTCTTTCCTTTCATGATGTCACGAAGAAGTTCCTCTCTCCCTCCCTTTCTTGATCTGTCAACATATTTCTCCCTTCCTTTAGAGTTCCTTTCTTGAATCTAGTCATCCAGAATCCTATTACATTCCCGTATCATTTCTTCCAATTTTTGGAAACTTTTTCTCATCTCTTGACGCCATGTCCTCACCTTTTCTAGTTCGCTAGTCCCCCTCTCCAAAGTATTGATGCATCCTTCCATGCTTTCTGTCCTTTTTGATTTGGATTTTCAATTTGTTAGGTTTCTTGGGAACAACAAACCGGATTTTCAGATTCAGTAAAGCAATAAGCACTAAATCTTACTGCACAATGTAAGATAATACTTTAATTAAAGAAAACATAATAGAGAAAACATCCAACAGCTTCCAAGGGAAGAAATTCCCTTCAACACAGGTTAAGACCTGGTTCTGAATAAACTACTCAACACCCTTTTTCAGACAAGTCTCCCCCCTTAAAAGATAACCCACCTTAGGCATCATAACTGCCTCCTAACTGCTATAATTAACCCCTCTTAACTGCCTAACCACCTCTCTCCTTACTTCTAACTTCTATGTGTTATTTCTGCCAAACTATCTCTTTTTATTTCTGCCAAACTGTCTAAAAATGGTCTAAAAACTGTCTAATACATTATATATCCTATATGAGAACCTCCAAACAAAAACTAAACAAGTCTGAATGTAAGTAGTTGATATCCTTTTTGGAAAAAATCAAGAAAAATTCTGGATGGTATAGAAGAATACCATTTATACTCTATTCTATTTTCTAAACCTAAGAGACTCAATTTATCCACATAATGATTACCTTCTCTATAAATACGAGGGCATTTAAATTTCATATCCTGACAAAACTTCATACAGCTTTAGCCTAGTTTTTCATCTTTTAGCTAACATTTTAGCTTTCAGTTATTTCAGCTAATTTTATCAAACATAACCTGTATTTACGGGGAAATCTTTAGATGAGGAAATTCACAAACTTTATTTTCCAGTTCAGTTCTTAAATAAAGTAACTAAATTATCCAGGGTTCCTTGTATGGCAATCATGTCAACTTTTCTTGACAACTTATGATGATTACTTCATGAATAGTGCTGGCCATAGTTTTTCTAAATAAATTCAAACCTCTGAATTGTTTACTTGATGCCTCAGATAATTTTTGGGAATAGATGGAGACATCTTCTTGGAGAAAGAGATTTTTGGGAACATGTTGGTGGAATTGATGTGTCCTTGGCACCTTCTAGTTTTGGCCAGGCAAACACACGGGTAAAGATTTTTAATTTAGTGGATCTTCATAATTTATATGCAAATCAGATACTGCATCTAATTCATCTTTTTGAACTAGTTACTATTGAAGCTTGGACACTGGATACAAAATACAATCATTGTGTCAATAAATGAATCTTAATATATACATGCATATTTATGGTATTGGTATGTCAAGATGTATATGGGAATATGTCTAAACACTATATTATGCTTGGCTGTGTTAGAGGGCAAGCCAGGGTGAAACAGTAAGTACTGTTGCCTTTTGACCTGGAGATCATAGGTTCAAATCTTGGAAGCAACATCTCTAAGTGTAGGGTAGACTGCATCTATCCTCCCCAAAATCCATTAGGTATGCACTAACTAAATCACCTTTTGATGCATAGTATGTGTTTAGAAAAATTCTTTTAGGATAGCTAGAAACATGTTTAGTTACAGGTGTCAACTAATTTTCTTTCCTAGAGCGTTATATTTAGGTTCCACTGTTTCATCTCAGTTTGTCAATGTGAATACTCTGACTTTATTGAGTGAGATGTGTTGGATACAACAGGTTTTGTTTCTAATGATCGTACTTCGTAAGTAGCAACTAAAAGGAAAATCACACAATTAAAAACTTGGAGCATAAAATCCCTCAACAAAATCAAAAGCTGTCAGATAAGCCTGACAGTTACTGGAAACTTTTCGGCAAAGTTGCTGGAAGAATCCCCTGAGTTCTGACAGTCTCTGGAAAAGCTGACAGTTGCTGGAAATGTCAAGAGCCTGGTCAAACTTAGTGAGAATACGTGAGTCTGATACCATGTGAGAAAACGTGAGAGGAAATTTTCTGAATGTGCTATTACCACATAGAATATATCCAATGTTGTATCATTGAGGGTCGCTGTACCATTAAGCCTGTAAGGATTGATTTAATGTGCCTCTTGTCTTGCTTCCTCATTCTTCCAGGCTTTTGATACCTTGCTGCGGAAATTACAGAAATATGTTCCATATGAATCAGCTGTTGCTGATTTGTATGCTGGAGCTGGGGTTATTGGGTTGTCATTAGCTGCCACGAGAAAATGCAGGCAAGATCTCGATGATTCTAAACATCTAAAATGTTGTTTTCTAACTTTGTATACATAATTGATTTGGAGGTTTTATGCTAGTTATCTTACAGATCTGTAAAATGCATTGAGATAAACAAAGAGTCGAAGGCATCTTTTGAGAAGACCATTGAACGTTTACCTTCCACTGTTGACAGCAGTATTACTTGGCATCATGCAGATGCTTCAAAGGTTAGTACTGCATATCCGAAGCATCATCATATACAGTGTTTTACTCCCAAATATTTTGTTTTCTGATTCACATAACAAAATTATGGTTTAAATTTTGGTATGCATGTAAATTATGAACATATGTTAAGATTTTATTTAAAAGGATAATCTATTTAATGTCTATGAGAGAAAACATAGCACGTTTTTTTATATCTAGAAAGAGATGTATCCTTGTCATGTGTTATTTTGAACTGATTGTACGAAAAATTTACAAGTAACAGGAGCCTTTTTTGTGGCTTGTGGGATCAGATGTTGTTGTCATTGATCCTCCTAGAAAAGGACTAGATGCATCTCTTATTGATGCATTGAAAAACATATCATCAATCGAGCGGAAAGCCTTGTCATCTTCTGAAAGGTTTTAATTTTGTGAACCTATCTTGTTTGGTCTGTACCAAAATATTTCCCCAGGCAAGTTTCTGATCTAGTGTAAGTTAACTGCAGCTCAAACTCATCCCAGGAAGAGAAAAGACCATGGGTTTTACGTGCTAAAGAAGCTTCAGTCCAGATTGGAAGCAAACCACTACCGGCTAACATCCCTCAATCAGTGCCACAAACCCTTATTTATATAAGTTGTGGATGGGAAAGTTTTAAAGAGGTGTATAACCTCTCTTAATGTTTTATGGACGTGATTTTACTTTTCTCAAACTTTTCTTTATGCTAGCATTAAAATTTGTTGACAGGACTGCAAGTCATTGTTGTCTAGCAAGGCATGGTATTTGGAAAAAGCTCATGGATTTAATTTCTTTCCTGGTACCCAGAGGTATTTATGTTTTTCTTTATTTCTTAATTATTTATATGTTTTATTATTTACTAATTATCATATTTTCTCTTATTCTTGCGTAAAATCTGAACTGAGTTAGTAAATTTCCCTTTTTCTCATTTCCTGAATTACATTCTAATTGCGTTTCCACTTTTTATCCATCCTGAACACAAACCTTTGGTATAGTGTTTATCCACTTCAAGTACTTATATTTATAATGATTAAGTAAACTATAGATTACTATAAAGATCATATATTCATACATTATGTGTCTGTTTGGACGAATTTTTCATAAACGCTTCCAGGAGAAGAAAATAAGAAAACTATGAAATAAATATAACTATAAGCTATAATTAGCTCATGCATAAGCTTATTTGGTAGCTCTCTCATGTTAGCTTCTCCAAAATTAGATTTTTGAATTACGATTTAGCTACTTTTAGATTATGGAAAATTTTCTTTTCTTTTCCTAATTATTAAGAAGTTTATCCAAATAGGTTCTATATCGTATCAATGTCATCATTGCTAATCCTTTATATTTTTTGAGTGAAAGGTCACAAACTATTGTACAACTCATGAATGTTGTTATTCATTTTATTTTATTTTTTGTGTGCAAATGGTTAGCTCGACTTTTCGGTAAGTGTAGGGTTCCCTTGGGGTGGGAGGTTGATATTCAGTTTATTCAAATTAGGTCTACAAAACATGGTAACTAATAGCTTGTTTGGTGTAGTTTAATTTGAGAAAAAATAATCCCATATTTTTCAAAATATCCTTTCGGAAGTTGAAAGAAATAAGCAATTATTTCTGCAAAATAAGCTAAAGCAAAAATACTAAATTGGAAACGGAAATAATGGTTAACACCCAGGAAAATTTAAAATTGCATTTATATTTGAACTTGGGTTGTTCTCGCAGTACTCAGCATCCCTACCCAATTCTTTACAGTCTCCTCCCTTGTCCTGGGAAGGGTGGTACTGTGCCAGCAAAACGAAAAACCCAGCTCCTATAGTGGACTCTTATTATACTTTAGTTGTTTTATTTTCTTTATGACCTTGCCCAGTGAGCTCTGTTTACAGCAACCCTGTATTTATACCGCTCCTTCATAAGGAACTAAGCCAATGATAATCTCTGTTAATTTATATTTGTCTTCTTACTTTAATTTACTTGTGCCTCTCTTTTATAGAATAGTAGACGTTGTATCAAGGAGAAAGGGCTACCATCAGGTCTCTGTCAATAGAGTGAAAACTGTTGTGGACAATGGATCTTAAAGGAATTGATAATGTGAGGAGTTCCACATTGAGTAGGATAATCTACTTGATGCGGTACTTAAGCCTTGAGGTTCTCCACCTAATGGAATAAATTTTTTGGTTGGGCAAATTCAAAAAGAATACTACTAATAGTAAAGCTGACTCAGAAAAGAAGATTACCATCGACTCAGTGTTAATAGAGTGAAAACTGCTGTGGACATTGGACCTTAAGAAAGGGTGACAATGTAGTCTCACTTTGAGTCGGATAAGCTACTTGATATAGTACTTTAGCTTTGAGATTCTCCCGGTTGATGTACTATACTAGTTTCTGGGTTGGTTCTCCTCTTCTGCTTAAATCCTAGTTTCAGACATGGCATATGTGCTTTATGTTACTCTAAAATTAGAGCATGATTCCTAAAGAGTAATTATGCCATCTCTATTAAAAGCCTGCTGCATATATGGTCCATGACATGATATATACTTTAAATATGTTCCACTCTTCCCCTTGGATATTTTTCCCCATAAAGTAAATTTTTTTATAACCTTTTTTTTCTCTGCAGAACTAAACTAAGGATACTTTATGTAGTTGGTCGTATGATTGTACTAGCATATTATCCTGCCCCACTATTCCCCGAAAGTAAAAAAGAATATTAACATGTAATTTACCCATTTTGTTGCAGCATTGAAGTCCTAGCAGTGTTCAAGAGGGGCCCTCAGAAAAAGAAACCAGGAAAGAAAAAGAAAAAACACTTGCAAAGAGCTGTGAAACATTAACTTGGACAGGGTTCGATATACAGATTTTCGTGTACAACATCAAATTTATGTAATGTTGCATTGAAGAAAAGAAATGGCAAGTTTTATAGTACTTTGGAGTGGTGAAAGTTTACCATTGCCATTTGCGGGGCGGGGTCGGGGGAAGTCGTTTGTATTGGGGGAAAAAGGAATTGTGTTTCATCGTTTGATTAATTGTGTTGAAAGAATATTAAAATTTGAATATAGTTTTACATTGCTTTTGTATCTTATTCAACATGCTTTTGATATAAGTAATACAAAATTGAGGAATAACTTGAGGAATTATGAAACCAACTTGCCCCAAGAGGGTGCGGCTTGACCATTCAATCTCAATTACTAGGAAAGCTTCAATTTCTTTTTCCTCTGCTCTTAGATTTTGCCAGCTGAGGAAAGACTGTCAAAATGTTGTGTGCCAGAAGATCTTGCCTGGTCAAGATCCCAATTACTGGGGATACCTGTGACGAGGTGACATCATTTGGTTAGTCATCACATAACTAAATGCTACAAGAATTTTTCAAAATAATTAAAAATGAACAACGAATTTTGTTTATCTCCCTGAAATATTAACATATCTATTTCGTTTTTGAATTATGTTAATATTATGTGCTTAAAAAACTCACCCCGGATGCTTGATACTTGGGAACTACAAGCAGATGACGAAGTCCAACTTGCCTGAAGAGAATCATTGCTTTTGCTACTGACATGCTCTCTAGCACGGTAAAGGGAGTTGTATTGGTTAGAGGATGTAGATCTACAAACATCTCCATTTCCTCGCTGGTCACAGCCACCCCTTCAATACTTCCTTCTCTCTCAGCAAGCTCTACCCAGGTAAATTTCTCTCTCACTTCCCAGTCCATTGTTCTCCTTCTTTCTTTAAAGAACCACTTCTTCTTTAGTGCTTGGATGAGATGTGCTCTTAAAACTAGTCCATGCAACTCTGTTGCTCCATTGGCATGTCCTACTACTGGTGGTACTACTACCCCATCATCCAAAACAGGAAAGCCATTATGCGTAGTGTTTTTCAAGACATCTACTATTTTAGATACCTTCTCTATTCCGTGGAGGGTAATCACCGATGGCTTTACATCAACAAGCTCACCCACAGTGAGATTTCTCATCCATGGCTCGGGGTTTGCATCCATGAAAGGGAGACCTTTCAAGTGCAGTATAATTTCATAGATACTTGGGTTGAAACTGTCTCCCACAGTTTTGGCTATTAGGAGAACAATCATTGTTATTGGTAATAGAAGAAGATTATTGGTGAGTTCTAGAAAGATCACACAAAGGGATACCGTCATCCTCATGGAACCAGCCATGAGGGAGGCTGCACCAAGTACGGCAAACAGCCCTTGGTCAATGTTTGTATGAGGCCCCATATAGAAGCCAAGAAGGCGTCCATAACCTGAGCCCATAAGAATAATTGGGAGGAAAAGCCCAGATGGCACTGCAATTCCAAAAGTAACTAGTCCTAATATGCAATATAGTACAAAGAAAATTAGGAGGGACATGGGTTGATATTCTAGAGGGGTGTTGGTTGAGAATATGTTTCGAACAGCATCGTCATTAGTGGTAAGCAGCAGAGTGGCCAGATCGTTATAGAAGCCAGGTGGACAGTTGAATTGTTTGAAATTTCCGGATCGTCCATTGGTGGGGCATGCTGACTCTGGAATCGATGAATCACATGGGGTACATTTTGCTAAGAATGGGAGACCATATTGGCACATAGATGTGAAGAGTGCAACTGCAAGACTGAGGAGGAGTTTATGTATCTTTCCTTTCCTGCAACAATTAAAGACAGGCATCACCTTAGTAATCATGTAATTTTTTTATGTGTTGGCATTTTGGCGTTTCTTTATTATAGAGCAAGAATCCAGGATACCCTTTGGGGTGTAATTCTATTATATACCCTCAAGTTAGGGTGCATCCTGGATCTCTTATCTGTTACTGTTGGATATGAATAAAATAAATAGACGTTATTTATTTAGTTCAAATCCTATGGTTATGCACCCTACCTTAATGAGTGCGTTGTAGAATTCCTCACAGTTTGGGGTCATGCTGCAACTTTAGTTCATTGGATGCTATCATTTATTGATTTTGATATTTTTTTTCTATATTTTTGGCTTAGTAGCTGAACACACATCTTGCACACATGTTTTCATTGGACAATGCATTTGTGGTCAGTATAGAACATTAAATCATGATATTTTTTCCTTTCAGTCTTATGTGTTTTTAAAAGTTAAGGATGTGCAATATGTTGAGGCGAGGGTTGGATATCATTGCTTACTGATTGATGAGATTGTAGAGTCTGAGGATCTTGTGTAGCACATGATTGTAAAGGCTTCCCAATACCCCGCCTATGATACCAATGACTACAACGATGACAATATCCATAGCATGGTACCTCACTGTGACATTGCTTACATCAAACATAATCAGACCTCCTTCACCAAAAAGGCCACATTTTCCAGAATTGCAGATTTCAATGAAGGCCCTGAGAACCACCACCACCACAGCTGTGCTAAAAAAGGTTCTCCAGAGTAGAGCACTTCTCCACCAGGTTGCCACCTCTTCAAGAGCAAAGAGAACTCCACCCACTGGAGCCCGGAAAGCTGCACAAACTCCCGAAGATGAACCACAGGTGATAAGATCCCGACGGTCACGATCATTGTTAAAATATCGAAGCCAACGCCATTTGATCCTGTAATTGTCGGGGCCTCCCTGGCCTAGTAAGGAAGCAATGCAGCTTCCTATGTGTACCAACGGTCCTTCTTTTCCCAAATCTAGTCCTGCAGAGACAGCTCCAATGCTTCCAATTATCTACAACAACCAATGCATGGGATAAGATATCAATAAAAACTGGAAAAGTAACATTGATCAGCAATTAGAGATTTAAACATATGATGCAAGAAGGACCAGTAATTTTTGTACAACAGTGTTTCTGTTAAACGTGGATACCATTTCCATTATAGTTACTATGGTCGTGAATTTTACCGATAACAAGACTTGTAAACTTGGCCAGTCATATTTGTAAGGGTGTGTTTGGGAAACAAGTATTTTCCAGTTCAGCAATTTTGTTGCTTCTGTTTTATACACCTACTTATGGTGTCTCTGAAACGACAATTCAAACGCACCTAACTCTGTTGTGGCATCCTAATGTACTATGTAGCTAATGATAATCACCATGTAATATATGTTAGTAATGCCTTACTAAAATAGCTAAGTCCAGTACTTCATTACTCCACTCCGTGCATAGTAATTAAGGATTCCAGTTGGAATTCTAGAAACATTCGACGAGACTTGGGTCTCTAATTTTTATATGTATTTCTCTAATTGGGTGGCACAGTTGAAGTTTCCAATTTCATAAACAATTTCTGTCATTTTTTTTTTTTATTAAATATGGTCTATGGTTTAGACAATATAAAAATCCTACATAAATTTCATTATATGATAAGAAAGTATCTTACATCCAAATTGGAACTCTGTTAAATTATGCGTTTAAATTTTAAATTCTCAACTCGAATTATTATATTAAAAATTGGTCTTGTTCATCAAATCTATTATTATTTTGTGTTTTGAAGATTAATGAGTAAGAAAATTTTAATAAATTGTATTAAAAAATAAAAACAAAAAATAGAACAGACATATATAAGTACAAGTCAATGCTCATTTTGTTTTGCCACCGCAAAATCAAATATAAGGAAGTTTTATAAACAAAATAATTAAGCAATAAGAAAAGGCTTTAAAAAACACACTTCAATAATCATAAAAACAGTATTTCCTGAAGCATTGTGCTAAGAGTGCATTCAAAATTAATTGGAAAAAAACTGAATTTAAATTTATCATATTAATTGAAATGTGCAATTTTATCTAAATTAAATGGGTTGAACAATATAATTTACTTCTAATTTAAATCAGATTAAAACAAATCCAATCAAATTAGTCCAACTAAATGGATTAAATTTCAAATAAAATCAATTTATTGAATTATATCGAATATAGATAGATTTAAAAATTTTGAATTCTTGCTCGCCCACCCTTACCCATAAGCAACCCTTATAAACGAGTTTTGAACCTTTAAAATGGTTTGTTGTGAGTTCAATGAGAAACGACGAATTGCATACAATCAACTTACTTTGATAATCAATGTTGTAGCACCAAACATGTTGAGTATCAACACCATTAAGATAAGCTTTGATTTCAAGAATTCCAGGTCCTGCTGCTATGGGTGCAAAACACACGCACAGAATAGCAGCAACAAATGTCAAAATGAAATTAATGCCCGTGAAATGTAGGAAACCTGTCAAGTACCTGGTCCATGCACATTCACTCAATCACACACAAATAACTCATCACATTGTCAATACTTAATGAAACTAGAAATCATTCACCTTTCTTTGTGGATGTATTTAAAAACAGCCAGAAGCTTGTACCCAATATAATGTTCTGAATAGCAAGATTGATCAAAGTGGCTATATAATACCAGTGAGAAGTCCAACAAGGAATGCAAGTAACCATTTCAAGAATATGTACTACAACACTTGAACTCTTGATCTGCTCCTCCAGTAATGCTTAAATAGATCATTCTCATTTATCCTGCACACAAAAATTATTTTCTTATTAACATCAAAAAATGAAGCACAAGAAAGTTTAGTATCTGACAAAATTTGAAACAGTTATCTTTGAAAACAATACATTGCAAACCAAAATAAAGAACATAACAAAACAACTCCTGCTATGCTTGATATTTCTAAGGGATTACCATATCCTCCATTACAACTAGTGAATCTCAAAATTGAAACCACTGCCATCCTCAATTGAAAATAACGTAGTAGAAGAAACCTAGGACCTTAACACCAACATTATTTCTCCTAGCCTCTTCATGATCCATGATGCCAACAAAGGTAGTCAATACAATATAACCAAATTGCATAATTAGAAAAATGCAATAAGTAGAGGAACCAAATCATAAAGATAAATGTTTAATCTGATGATAGGAAACTCAATAGAAAGAATTTAACCTTAAACTTAACAAATAAACAACTAGACCTTAACCAATCTAACAAAACCATTCAACAAAAATTTCACATCATACATGTAATTTTATCTCCACAAGGAAGAAATGTCTACCCTTTTACATTAAGAACCACAGTTCTAAATTAATTAACTAATCTTAACAGATCGGTAAAACCATGTAAATAAAGAATAAACTCTTAATCCATGGCACTATGTTCATAAAGACATGCATTTGAACACAACACACAAAAGGGTGAAAGAAAAAGAAAACACTTTAACTAACCAGTCTTGAGGGGAGAAGCCTAGCAGTACAAGGTTCTATATCTTTGACACTCACATCAAAACGGGGGCTAATAACCCCACAGTTGTTCAGTCTACCATTCAATTCAACCACGATTTTACCAGTCCTATGGTCATCAACATACTCAAACTCTCCAATGTAACCTACACAATAAATCATCACTAGACACAACTAAAATTCAGAACGTAGACTAAATGATGCAACAAAAAATAAAAAAGTTTGATTACTGGGAGATATCGTGCTTTTGCATCACCAAAAGAAATTTGATAATGACCTTGGACGATGGCCTAATCATGACTTGGAGCTTTCCTCTTTTCTCAGCATTGTACATGCTCTTCAGAGTTCTGTTCAACACACTAACCCTCACCATACTCGCTCACTGTCAGACAAATTTCAATTACAATCAATAAATAAAACCACGCAATCCCATAGACTTTCAAGAAGCAAAAGAATGAGTCGAATCTTACAAAGAAAAATAGAGAAGCCTAGGGAACCTCCATTAGTGCTTTTTTTTTTCTTCAGAGAGTGACGAACAACAGAACAAAGAGGAGAACACTCAAATAAGAAGATTGCATACCAATCATCTTAAAAATAAAATAATTGAAGCATTCAAAGTTTAGATTGTAAACCGAACCAAATATACACTCTAGAATTTTATACTTCACTCAGTTAAACAAAAAAGAGTAAACTTAGGTTAGCTCTTACCTCCACTCCTATGGAGCTTTTTTGAAGCGGGTCAAATCAATGGTTCACTGGAACAAAAATCCTAACTCCGAAAGGGGAACGTCCACAAAAGGGAGTTGACCGGCGAAGGTGTTAAGACTCCGGCAAGTGTACCGAATCGTATCAAGTAATATAAAATGGTAAGACCAAGTATCGTATCCCAAAGGACTCACGGCCTAAACAATTATGTGATTTCTTGATTAAATAAGACTTGAAAACAAACTCTTTTAGGTTTAGAATGCATATACTGAAAAGTACATATGAATGCAATTTGATCAATTGGACAAAAGTGCAAAGATGAACGTGTTTGATATTATGGAATGAATATGTTGTTGGGGTTAGATTTCACCTAGTTTACTCTCATGCATATATGAATTCTACTTCTTCATTAATGTTAACGTCACTATCTAAAGTACTTAAAACCCGATTCCTCGGTGAAGAAAGTCTATCCTTAATTACTAGGTCACAATTCCTTGCATCCCTAACAATTAATTCTGCATTACGATTAGTAGCTTAAGACAACCAAAACTCATACCCCCATTCCTGAACAATACTGCTTCTGGGAATAATTCTCCGAATCACGAATTGTAAGATACCTTTCGGTACTCATGCAAATCATACATCATGCTAAATAATGAGTTAAACAAAGCAAGCATTATGCAAAGAAGAATTACCCTAACAATTAATGAAAGAAGCATATATAATCAAGAATCAATTAAATACAAGAGAGTTTACAAAAGGTTACATCATCCGCAACAACAAATAGAGTTTAGTTCACCATTGACATGGTGAAACTAGATGAACAATGGAAAAAGAATGAAAGATAGAACCCTAGAAATTGAAGATAAGAGCTTCTGCATCCAAATTCGCCTTCAAGGGAGCAAAGAGTGTGTTTCTAAGCTTATTTCATCCAAAGATATGAACCCTAGGACGTCCAAGTCCTTAAATAGAACATAAAAATAACAGAAAACGGGTCCAAGCCCACGAGACTGGCGCTCAGCGGTGTGCGAGTCATGCACAAATTTATGATCACCAAAATATGATGTCACAAACTTGATTAACAATCGGCAAGTATGACCGAATCGTTTCAAGTAATAAACTCGGTAAGACCAAGTATCGTTCTCCCAAAGGACTCACAGCCTAGTTTAGTTATGTGATTTGTTGATTAGATAAGACTTAAGAACAAAATAATTGGATTTTACTATGCAAAAGACGAAAATAAACATGTATGCATGAGGTTGATCAATGGCTAAAACAAAAGACAAGCACTTTCAATGAAATATATTGATGAATATGTTGTTGGGGGTCAATTTCATCTTATCCACTCTCATATATTTTAGGAATTCAACATTCAAGTCATCATTGTTAATGCCACTCTCTAAATTACCTTTCAAGAAGGCTTCTCCCTAATTACGAGTTCATACGATTCCTAGCATTCCTAATAATTAGTTTTTTTAGCACAGGAGCTTAAGGCAACCAATATACTATTGGGAGAAATTCCCCGGATCTAGACTTCCCCGTACGTTCCCGTATCGACAAAATCAATAATCATGCATTGAATGAGTTAAACAAAGCAAGCATTGAGCAAAGAGGAAAAACCCTAACTAATGATGAAAGAAAGCATAAGTCTTAGATTAAGATGCAAGCACAAATTCCATATATGAGAGCTTCAAAAGATTACATTGATTCCCCAACAAACATACAAGGTTTAGTTCACCATATTCATGGTGAA